ACCTAGACCAACGCCACTAGCATCAGTAGTTAATATTTGAACAGCACCACGTGATGGGAAGGCCAGCAAGGGAGGTGTTGTGAGAGTAACTTTGATCATTTCGAAAGCACCTTGTTGTTCAGGGCCCCAGGCAAACGGTATGGATTCCTTGAGTAGTTGAGATATAGGGCGGAGTTTCCGCGCATAGTCGTTTACAAACCTACGGTAATATCCAGTCATTCCCAAAAGTGATCTTACCCCATCCTTGTTCACCGGAGCTGGCAACTCTATGATTTTAGCCAAGTTGCGGGGGTGTGGAGACAACCCTTTTTTGCCGACCACATGGCCAAGATATTCTACGCTTTGTTTTCCAAATTCACACTTTGCCAACTTCAATTTCAATCCTGCTTCAGTGCATCGTTCGAAAATGAATTGAAGGTGTCCTAGGTGTTCCTTTTCCGTTTGGGAGTAAACAATAATATCATCGACAAACACGTAGGCAAAAGATCCAATGGCGGTTCCCAAAATTTGCGACATCACCCTTTGAAAAGTGGAGGGGGCATTTGTTAACCCAAAAGGCATCACCAGGAATTCATAGGTTCCATATTTAGTTGTAAATCCTGTCAGCGGAATTGAGTCAGCGTCCATCGGAACTTGCCAGAAACCAGATGCTGCGTCCAGCGTCGAAAATATACACGCATCTCCTAGAGCATCGATAATGTCGTCGATGTGGGGTAAAGGAAAGGAGTCCTTGACCGTCACCGCGGTTCAGCTTCCTGTAGTCCACGCACATTCTGAGTTCTCCTGTCTTCTTCGCTACAAAAATTACAGGGGCTGCATACAGTCCTTGGGAAGGCTGGATTAATTTTTCTGCCAACAAATCATTCAGCGTGCTCTTGAGCACGTCGTCTTGTTCCCAGGTCAATCTGTACGGCTTCCTGCGATAGGCCTATCTTCGTTAACCATAATGGTATGGCAGAAATCAGTCACTAAACCGGGACCAGTTTGTTCGACGAAACATGCTAGGTATCGGGTCACTAGATCATGGACAGCCTGGTTGTCGGACTTGATAATTGCGCCCTCAGATCCGTCGGTCCCAATTGTTTTTTTTTTTCAACTTTTTCTTTCGTTGATCCATCCCCACTGCCAACTTCCATCCCGATGTTTTGTCGACTTCGACTCCATCCCCACTGCCCCAATACAGTATGTCCTTAATACTACCAACTTCGGGAGTCGAGCTTGGAGTAGCGATATGATATATGCGCGATAGCACTGCAGGATCATTTTCACAAACGCAACCTCTTATCAGTAAGTTTTGTTCAGGTTCCTTACATACTGGCAACTTGAGTTCCAAGGTGGCAGGTAATGGCGTAGCTTCATAGCGTTGTAACCATGGCATACCCAATAGTAATAGGTCATCGTTGCGGTCTTGTACAATCATGTTATCAGGGCGTTTGTAACCAGCCACTTCGATGGGGACCCCATGGCAGAGACCACCCGGTTTTGTTGTCGACTGGTCCAAATTCTCCACGGTGAAGTTCATGTCGCCATCCACCACCAGTCCAAGACGATGCACTAGCGCGGAACTGATAACGGAAAGTGCTGCACCAGTGGTCTACCACGGCTTGTAGTGGTTTACCAAGGATCGTAACAGGGACAGAGAACGGCAATAGTTTTTTCATCTCCTTCCCGTCTGCTATACTCAATACGTCTTCATAGTCATCGTCTTTTAGGGAAATTGTTCCACGATTCTTCCACGTCACTTTCCACTTCAGAGTATTCAGCGTCACCGTCTTCATCAAAAACTGAATCATCGTCAAAAGAGTCATCGTCTACGTCTTCTACGGCTACAGCGACGTTAATGCGGGTAGGGTTGGCCTTGAACGGTGAAGGAGCAGCACCTGTGTCAGTTATCGCAGCGGGCATCACAGGGCGTTTGGCGTTTCGACCATGGCAGTAACGGATACCATCCACCACGTCTTTCGCCAGTTTTTTGTCTCTGGCGAGGATCTGCGCGAGGGATACACCACCTGGTCCAGCCGTCGTATTTTGCATCACATTCCAAATGTCAACTGGGGGCACATCCACCTGTAGACGACGGAGAGGACCTCTTTGTTTCGGTTTCCCATCAGGGGTAGGCGGCACGTCCTTGATCACCAACTTGCCTGTGGCGTCAGTGTGTCCTCGTCGCTTCCTATGTTTTGCATTGTACACCTTCACACCTTGTATTGCGCGTATTTGCGTCTCACTAAGGAAATTTTGGGAAGTGTAAGCGTCGTCATCGTTTTTTTTTCGCTATTTATTTTTTTTTGTCACGATCATCCGTCGTTCTTATCGGGATAGTTGGGGGTTGTAGGACAATAGGTATCCCTTGGTCTATTGTCCCTGGTCTTTTCCCGGACCTTGATGTTGTTGGTAAGGATCACCACGGTTTTGACGGGGAATGGGCAGTTGCGCACAAAATGGTTGGGATCGCCGCAGTTGTGACAGGTCCAGCCGTTTCCTTGTTGGCGGGAAGGTTGGAATGGACCACGTGGGGTGTTGCGAGAAGGACCAGATTCATAGCGTTGGCCATAATCTTGAGGTACTTGATAACGTCGCGCTGGTGCTTGGGTGGGACGGGGAGTGAAGTGGACCTTGAGCTTGCCGAGCGCGTCGGCTAAATTGTCCATCGTGTCAGTGATGCTTTCATTATCTCGGCTTGGTAGATACCACTGTTTCTCTTGATCCATAGGAGTTGAGTATGGGGAAGGATCTTGTTGCTCTCGATAATCTTGATTTTGCAAACTTCCATGATGGTTGGTGCGGCCATATTTGCTCATGATGATTTCTTCCTGACGGGCATAACTAATGGCTTCGTCGTAGGTGGTAGGGCGGCTGCGTTCCACCCACTTGGCTAGTTCCCAATTTAGTGACTTAATCAAATGACGTTTCTTTTCGCTATCATTTGTGATATCGAGACGAAAGAAAAGTTCTTCGAGAGCTAATTTCAAGGCAGAGACCGACAACGTGTCTTGTTTCATGGAATCCAACTTCCTACGCCAACTTTCTTCCAGGTCGCTTGGCACAAACGTTTCCTTGAATCTTGCAGTGAAGGCGGCCCACGTTTCCGGCTTTTCCATTTTCTTGTCATATTGGGTCGCAGCAGCGCCTTTCAAAAACGTAGGTGCTACCTTGAGCCTCTGTTCCTCAGTTAGGTCTAAGGCATCCATCCAGGTTTCCATATTTCGTAACCACAACATTGGGTTTTCCAATTGAGGGTCGCCTTTGAAGCTGTCGGGCTTGTCAATTAAGTTGTACAATTCGATTGAGTTGGTCATGATTGGTACGATGTAAAGTGTCAAAAAGAAAAAAAAACGAGGTAGATGTCTGGAAAAGTATACGGTTCAAGTCGGGGTTCGGAAGGGAAGCGAAGAAGTAAAAGTGTAAAGAAGAAAAAAAGATGTCGTGCGGTCACTGTTGCAGTAGGTAGTTGTAATAATAAAATTGTGTATGCTCCTCTCCTCCACCAAAATGATATGACGGCACGTGTGGGTGTATAGGGAAAAGGGTTTCGGACTGCAGGAATAGAACAAAAGTACGGGTTTTCTCCTTCTTTCTGTTGACCTTTCACTTCCGCTTCAAAACGTCAAAAAGAGATGTGTTTAATCAGGGTTCAGATGTCAAAAAATAAAATAAGAATTGGAAGCGGAGAGAGAAAAAAACAAAAAAGGGAAAAGGAAAATGGCCAATCACAATTATTCGGCAATTCGGGCCGAATCGGGCGCCGAACTGCCGATTTCACAACAAGGCCCTTTCTACGGTCTATCATTCATCAAGTCGGAATAGTATAGTGGTTAGTACTCCACGTTGTGGCCGTGAAGACCTGGGTTCGATTCCCAGTTCCGACAAGCGATCCTGGGATTTCCCGGGCTTCATCCTTTTGTCTCCTTCAGGACTTTTTTTATTTGCCCTGCCTTTGGCTTCTTTTTTTTTTTTTTTTTTTGGTGGTTAGGATCGATTGACCTTTGTGTTATTGCCGTCATGGTCTATTTTTTTGGTGCTTTGGTGAAAAATGCGTTGGCCCATGGAGGCTGAGAAACAACTCTGGTTTGCCCTTCGTCTGCTATTTGCCTAACAACACACGGCCTTTTTTTTATGTGCGATATTAAGTGTCGACGACAACGCCAGTATAATGGTTAAAAAAAAATAACAAGGAAAGAAAATAGGTGATCCAGGAAGCAAATGAGGACAGCTGGGTAGGTGGACGTTTCCATAAAAGGTAATCCTCGCAGCCGTTGGTTTTTTTTTTCTTTTTTTTTTGCGCACCACCCCTTGGATTTAACCCAAACGCTGCAAGGTGCTAGTATAAAATCCACTTGGTCAACATGTCTTTAATTCGGTGATCGAGAACAACCAAAAGTGGCTCAGGCTTGGTTTCTTTTTTTTTTTGAGAGAGAGACCGACAGTATGAGACGGTGCAATGGAATCTTCCTAGTTTGTGGGTTTATACATATTCGTTACCGGGCGACCTCATCAAATGAACTTTCTTCTTTTTCTGTATCGTCATCATTCGCAAATTCGTGCACCCATGCAAATTTAGTATCGTTCCAATTAGCTAGAAAAAGTGCTGCAGGACACACTAGGCTTTTTTTTTTTTTTTTTTTTTTGCAAGAGCAGTTGATGGACAGACGAATGGGAAGGGTAGCACAGAGGAGCAAATGTGATTTACCTATTTTATTTTAAAATAGTTCAATGGTGTGCCAGGCGCCAGAAAAAGTAAAGACCAGCAGCGGTATCGCGCCATGATTTTTTTTTTGTGCTCCGGCACCCTTTTCTCTCACTTTTTTGACTTGTTGCAGCGTATCTGTTCTCTTGACTGGTGATTGCGTTAGCTAATACCCCACTGATCTAGAGAGATACATCGTAGAGAAATACCACCATTGCTCAAGAAGGGAAGGACCATGACTGACAGCCAGGTACATTCAAGACCTCTGCACAATCCAACGGATTCGTCAAGTGTCGCTAACGCTCTTCTGCTGGTTCTTATATAGGAAACCAAAGTAGCATCAAACCAAGTTGTGGTGATTCTTGATTCAGACGATGATCTTGAATGTGGACCAATGGCCTCAATGTAAGTATGCATCTAACTGACATCTCGTTTGCTTGCTGATTCCAGGGTTTTTTTTTTTTTTTTTTTTTTTTTTGAATGTCGGTGTGTGATAGGACAAAGACGGTCAGGACCAGCTTGTCGAATGATGGCAAGGGAGGGAAAGCAATGTCGCCGATTCATATACCTTCATCTTTGTCGATTGGATCGCAGGCATCTTCTCAGCAATCACAGAAAATCGCGGGCGTATCTAGTCAGCCGTTATACGTGGACCAGCACTGCGAGCTACTTGACGAGTTGTACGACAACACTAACGCACCCGAACCGTTCCTCGATGATATTTTCGGCAACGATGTCATTAGGGACGAGAACAAAAGGCAGGCACCAGAGCCATCGCGAGGCGATAACGACTCGGACGATTCGCTGCCTTCGATGGGCGATCTCTTATCCAGTATTGGTGCTGGTCACGCTTCCAAGAAAAGCCGCACGGTCAAAGGAAAGGGTCGGGCAACAAGCTCTCAGATCTCCTATGATGACAGTGATGTACTGACATCGTCTGCCATGGAAGTTACTGACAACTGGGAAAATGACAAAACTGTAGCCTTATCCATCGCTGCGACAGTAAGGAAAGAGAGAAAAGTGACACAGATACACTCACCGGCTATTATTTTTTTAAACAAAATCAGGACAAGGAGATTAAAGCAATGGAACGGAAAAGGGCTCGAGAAACAAAGGAGCAACAGCGCAAGGCTAAGGCCGAAGCAAAAAAGCAGAAGGAACGGGACAAGGAGAATGAACGCCGAGTCATGGAAGCCAACCGTCTGACGCAGGACCGATCACATTTAGTCAAGGAAATGGTGTTTGTGGTGCACGACGCGGAGTTTATGAAGACGAAGCAAGGGGTGCTACTGCGGACGATGCTGGAAAAAGGCGATGTGTCACTCAGGATCCTGGCGTCGCCTCCATCGGCTGTGCATTGTACGATGACATGGCAACAGAAGCGGATGTCTCTTTGGGATCACAGCTCACAACAGTTCATTCCATTTCAAAACCAAGAAACACGCATGATGAATGTGGACTCGGTGCTTTTGTTCGTGACGATTGATCAGCTGGTAGTGATCATTCAGGAAGAAGCAGTGGATAGCTGGATCGATCAGCAACAGGCGGCTGCCCCAGGGAAGCAGCTCTTTTTAATGGTGGAAGGCTTGCAAAAATACTACAAGAAGCAGCTCAACATGCAACGACGCCAGTTTACCACTCGTGTGCTGGAGAACATGCACAGCCAGAATGGCAACAATGATACCCCCGGCTCTCAGCCCTCGCAAGAAACGTCGTCACGTGCCAGGAGCCGGTCTTCCCGAGCAGCTGCGTCGGAACCCACCCTGGTCCATCATGACATAGTCGAACAAGTGCTGGCCCACCTGCAAATGTTCAAGGACATCATGGTGATTGAAACAAGCAGCATCGAGGAATCAGTGGCTGGGATGATGAATCTTGCCACGGACCTGGCCCGAGCTCTCTACAAGTAAAAGCTGAGAGACGGAGAGGAGTGGGTGCAGGCTGTTTATCTTTTTTTTTTTTTTTTTATTCTCTCGTGATTTCCAGGAATGCTATGACAAGCAGGCAGTGGCCAGGACCGTCTGCAACGGGTGTAGAGCCTTACCACGTGTGGAATTTGATGCTTCAAGAAGTGCAGCTTTGCACGTCTGCCATGGCGAGGACCATTGCCGACGCGTATTCAACCCCGTTGCTCTTGTACCATGATTATTTGGATCTGCAAAGCGAGCAAGAAAAGGGAGAGCTGTTGTCCGAGTTGGAGGTATATGCCCCCGTCTGATACGTTTTTTTTTTTTACGGTGATTGATCCATTTTATTATCCTAGATTCAAGGCAATAGAGCCCATGGCCGGGATCGCTATGTTAGTAAATTCATGTCGAAAAAAGTGCACCAAATCATGACTTCGGATGATCCTGAGGAAGTTATCTCTTAAGCGCATCCCAGTCGAATAAACGTGGTTTTTTCTTTGTGCGGATGCATGTTGAATCCAATCGGTGGCTCAATTTTTTTTTTGTTAGCTGTCCAATTGGAATGGCAAAAAGTCTGGATTGGTGAATGTCATGTTTTTTTTTTAATGGAGGTCTAAATCAAAAAATGAAGCACAGGTACAGCAATGAGAGGGGAGGAAATAAAAAAAAAAGAGAGGAGAGGTATTATTATCCATTCCGTCAAAGAGAATCGAAAAAAAAGAGGATGTCTATGCAGATGGAGGTGGCGTTGTGGAGTCCTTGTTGGCTTGATCCTGAGGAGGGTGTTCAGACTGCAGTTTTTGTTGTTCAGCTTGTTGTGCCTTGAATTCGTCGCCTCGCTCCAGCTCAAAGCGCTCTCTGGCTCGGACAATCTTGGACTGCAAGTAAAAGGATCCACCCTTGGCAGTTTCGTTGACATTGAATAAATGTTCATAATTCTAGGCATCGGGTAGAATAAAAAGAGAGGTCAGGCTATGAAACACTGGCAGCTTCCATGAGCTTACCTTTGTCAGCTGGGCAAGATCGGCCTCTTTGGAAATATTCAAGATTTGACAGGCTTCTTCCATGGACATGCCGGTTTTCTTGGTCAGAGCATCGACGACACCTTCCTTGGCACTGCCTCTACCAGCAGCAGCAGCACCACCGCCAGCAGCAGCATCTTTTTAGAGAGAAAGTCATGAGCATTGTGGCATCGATTTTTAAGAAAAAAAAACATACTAGCAGCAGCTTGTTTGTAGGCTGCAAAAAAGGCTCGGCCAACCACGGTTCCTACACTAACCAGAACTTGTGCGATAATACGACCAGACTACAACATGCACATGTTAAAGGTGTTTTCATGGATCTCTTTTTGAAGATTTACCATAATGTAAAAACGTCGAACTGAAAAAAGCAATGGGGAAGAAGAGGAAAAAAAAAAAATCCTTTGATCGGAAATTCTATATCCGACAGACAGGAGCTGGCGGTTTTTTATCCCTTCTTTTTCTTGTCCCTCTTATTCTTGCAATTGCGAGCCATTGCAGGGATGGGTTTCGGTTTTCTTTGGTGTACTTCTTCCCGCCATTCATGACTACATTGGCAGCAAAAGCCACGGCGCGCTGGCCGCCCCGATAGCCATTAAACCGTTGAATGGAGAAATTGATGTCATAAATGGTAGCGATGACACCGATGTGGGTGAGGATCAGGCGGACACGTTTCAAGGTAGAGAATGGTATTCACGGTCATCTTTGTTGGAAGGCTTGATTCAAAGGCCTTGAAGGTGGTGGTCACCCCATCCACAACCATTTCCATGGCAGTCTTTGTCGCATCTAGTTTTTTGGCACGCTGTTTGGAACCAGATTGGGCAGTGAATTCCGCGCTTGTCACCCTTTTCATGGGTAAGTCCCGTGTTGCAGTAGGACGGGTGTCAAGGGAATCAGGGTGCAGGCAGGAACATCCCGGCGTGACTTGGCTCTGTTGACCATGCTGTTCACCAGGTAGATCATTGACACTAGGCAGTTGGACATTTGTCGCTTGTGAGATGGTGACTCAGCGACCGGGGTCAATGGTACTGATCGCAAATTCTTGCGATCCTCGTGCGTCCAAAGGCGGCAAGTCTGTGAGTTCCACGTCCTTGATTGGTGTCGGAAGCTTCATGGTTGAGACGGTAAAATTCACCTCTATGCCGTTGGTAGACACCACTTCAAGAGGATCATGCGTTAAGGGGAAGGACAAATCAGCAGCACTGCAAAAAAAAAAAAAAAAAGAAAAAAAAAGTGAGCAAGTGTGCCCACGCCAG